ATGTGCTCTTGCGGCGCAGAAGGCCAACCGCATCCTGGGCTGCATCAAGAGGAGCGTGGCCAGCAGGTCAAGGGAGGTGATTCTCCCCCTCTACTCTGCCCTCGTGAGACCTCACTTGGAGTACTGCGTCCAGTTCTGGAGTCCCCAACATAAGAAGGACATGGACCAGTTGGAGAGGGTCCAGAGGAGGGCCACGAAGATGATAAGAGGGCTGGAGCACCTTTCCTATGAGGACAGGCTGAAAGAGTTGGGGCTGTTCAGCCTGGAGAAGAGGAGGCTCCGGGGTGACCTTATAGCGGTCTTCCAGTACCTCAAGGGGGCCTACAAGAAAGATGGGGAGAGGCTGTTCAGGAGGGCCAGTTGTGATAGGACAAGGGGTAATGGTTTTAAAATAGAGGGAGGTAGATTCAGGTTGGATATTAGGAAAAAATTTTTTACCATGAGAGTTGTAGAACACTGGAACAGGTTGCCCAGAGAGGTGGTGGATGCTCCATCCCTGGAGACGTTCAAGGCCCGGTTGGATGAGGCCCTGAGCAACCTGATCTAGTTGGAGATATCCCTGTTCCTTGCAGGGCGGTTGGACTAGATGACCTTTGAAGGTCCCTTCCAGCCCTAACGATTCTATGATTCTATGAAAATATACAGATCTAGTCAGCAGTTTTCAAAAATAACACATTCCAGGTGGCTTTTATAGCAGCTGGAAGTGAAAGCAGCTTAGTCTGTTTAGCCCCTTGCAAAATGAAAGCTTTTTATTAATTCATTAGGGAAGCCAGTCCCCAAGAGAAGCAAAACTACTTAATCTGCAACCTACCACTGGCTAAGAACAAATGAGCACAAATTGGCCACAGAAGAAATTGGGTTGGACATTAAAAGAAAATTTCTGTTTGTTGGAGCTGCTGGATTCTGAAATATTTTGAAAAATATGTGGGTTTGTCTCCGCTAGTTCTAACCTTTGGTAGGATGGAAGCTGCTATGTTTACAAAATGAATGATTACTGGACTCTGTGGGCACAGGTTCCTTGTGGTGCCATGTTTTATACCACAAGTTCTATAAATTTCCACTTTCCTTCCTGCAGAGAAAACACCAATTTCAAACAGCAGCAACTCACGTTGCCAATTTAGAACCACACGCAACTGTTAAGTTTAAGTCAATAAGAAAAAATAATCCCAGTGGGTTTCTGCATAACGTAAGCAATCACTTCTTACCAGACCTTTTACAAAAACTTTACTGTTTATAGGAAGCTACTTGGTTTTGGCTACTCAATGGAATGTTTCTACCCAAAATTCTGTGCAACACTGTAGCGTCTCTGAAACAAATGTCATATCAGAGATCACGACGGAATGAAAACCCACCACCCTGAAGTCCACGATTCATTAAACAAAACCAAACACAATAGCCAAGTAATCTATTTTGACCACAAAACCCACAATCACCCAAAAAAAGCTTATTAGGTCGCATACAACTCCTCCTCTAGTTATTCTCCAAGAAGTTAACACTCACCATACATCTCATCTTCCAGGCCATGAACAAAAGCCCCACAAGCTCCTGACTCAATCAAGTTGACGGCACCCGTATCGATTTCTTCCTTGGGAGCATCATCTCCCCACTTTCTGCCACTGGAAAACTCCCCAGAGCTGTAGAGTTCTTTGGCTCGTTCATGCGCAGTGCGCTTCCTCTGTCCAAACAAATTTTTCAGTTACAGCCGCGGAAAACTTTATATATGACTGAAAAAAATATTAAATGGTTTTCCTGGATTTGAAAACACATGTAGCTAGAGGCTTAGACAATGACAGAGATGGGAAAATGCTGAGAAAAGCAAATATTGCTGTCTGTGCTATGACTATTTCTAATTGCCAGGAACACTTTGTATTTTCCATGTTGGCAAACGATAATAACTAATCTATTTTAATTAATATATTCTTAAACATCCATTGTAAGGACAGCCAAACAGGGTCAGAGAAAAGGCCCATCTAGTTGAGCATCCAATAACTGATCTGCAAAACCAGACACTATCGCTTTGCAGTTCAACTCGTTAAACTGCAGTTAAATACTTTAATGACTATTGATGCTTTACAGCACTCAGCAACGCGTAAAATGTGGAATTCGTTCAGCACGCTTGCTGATCCATCTCCTTTCCCCTACACACACTTTAAAGAAAGCCATGCAGCACTTGCTTTAACGGGCTTCACAAAGAAGCACACAAAAACTAGCAGCTCTAGCTTCATCGTTCTTTTGTAGACAGAAAAACTGAACATAAAACCTCAAGCGAGTTGCTTAAGGAAGGAATTTTTCTGAAAAGTTTTGCTCATGGGGCTCAGGAGTCTCAGCCTTTAGATGTTCAGGGCTCTTGAAACGTCTAGGTCTACTGGTTGGATCTTGCAGGAATTTTCCATAAGCTTGCTCCTAAAACTAAGGTGTAATCTTTCCATACTAGGCACTGGAACAGGTTGCCCAGAGAAGCTGTGGCTGCCCCATCCCTGGAAGTGTTCAAGGCCAGGTTGGACGGGGCTTTGGGCAACCTGGTGTAGTGGAGGGTGTCCCTGCCCATGGTAGGGGGCTGGAACTAGATGATCTTTGAGGTCCCTTCCAACCCAAACCATTCCATGATTCTATGTAGAGTTTTTAGCCAAAAGGCTGTCAGCAGAACACAAACGTTTACCTCTCATCTATGGAACCTGAATAGCCTAGAGCTGCTCATTACGTGCTCAGGAAGTGAAACCTAAAACTAGCAAATGCTTCACTGACTCTAATCTAAAAGAAAACCTGTCTTCATCAATTAACTCTCAGCAGCCCCGAGGCAAGGACGTGGTAAACAAACACACTCAACATTATCACACCTGTTGTGCCATTTTCATACGCTACACACAGTAAAACCAAACTCAAACGTTCACATACCCTCAGATCTGACATGAGCTTCTTGTCAAGGGTCTGCTCTAAGAAATGGGAGCTAACTTGTTGCATAGAGCCCTAAAGAAAAAAAAACAAACAACCAAACATCAAAAGGAAGAAACAGGATCATTTTAAAATTACATCATATAATTTCCTGACTTAGCACAGAATCCAATCTTATTCATTCATTCTAACAGCTTTATACAACGCGTGACACGAGCATATATCAGAGTCTAAAGAAGTTTACTTCGGGTAAACTTCCTGAAGATGTCAAAACATCTTATTTTCCCACTGAGGTTAACATGGTCTTTCTTGAGTTCAGTTGTTTTACATGCCCTGTGCTGGAGAAGAAAGGGAGGGAATTATGACGTGTGCTTGTTTTTTTCTTGGATACCCAACCCTCTGCTCTCAAGGGAAGAATCACTGTATAGCTCAGCTGAGAAACTTTTGGGTTTCCTCAACCTCCCTCATTTCTTTCTTCTCAGAATTTTGTTAGAAATTTACCTGTACAGTTTTTAAACACCCTCCCATTTCTTTTCAAACATATGTGAAAAGTAAAGTAACGTGAGACAAACTATTCTCAGCTAGAGGAGGAAAGAATGCAACTTACCAATAACTTAGCAGCTTGTACTCGAACAACCCAGGAACCATCGCTAACCATATGGCAAATTTTTCCGAACGCATCATCGACCAAGCGAATTTCTTCATTAGAAGAAGGAATCGGGACGATGCTAACACAAAGAAGCATAAATCAGTTTGCTGATCTTACACCACGCTGGATGCAAGTAAGAAAATTATGCTGGATTCCTATGGATGCACAACAGATACCAGGCACTAAAGCTTCATCTGGATCGGTGCGTCCTTGTCAGGTATCCGCAATTTGTACACATCGGTTTTCTAACAGCTACTCCTGAGACTTACTAGCACAAAACTCTCAGGATTAGAAGGATTACTCTGATTACTCCAATACTTTGAGCCACTTTGCATATCGTACATACCTCTCAGGGTAAAGTTGACTGAGGACCCAAATGAGCTGAACTGCAGCACTGCGCACTTGCTCATAATCATCTGCCAACAGCTTGCAGGCCTGAAAGAAGATTGGGTTGGAACTAGATGATCTTTGAGGTCCCTTCCAACCCTAACCATTCTGTGATTCTATGATTCACAGTCCAATATATCTGAAGCATCTCCACCTGAACTGTCAGTCGCTTCCCACAGCGGATTTGGGACCCCTACCATGAGTCAGGACAGATTAAAAATCACGATGAATTCAGTCCTCTCCCTTCTACTCCCTAGTACCTCCAAGTTCAATCAGGTTAACTAAAGTCACTCAGGCACATGCTGTGTAGCTCCAGAATTGCCTGTACCATGCAGGAAGCACAAAATGTGAATCTGTAACAGAACTAATTCGATACAGGCTTCAGCTGTGCAACCTTACTGCCATAAAAAATACAGGCTTCATGCGTACTCCTCAATGAACAAGGGTTCAAGGCTCTGAGATTGTCAGATGACAGTAATAATTGCATAATGCCATGCCCTTCCCATGAGTATCTCCCCCAATAAACAATACACATCCAAGCATATCCTTCAGTGTGTTCAAGCACAACGGGTGCACAACAGATTTTCACTTCCATTGCCATAGGACAACAAGGAATACAGGCAACCTAAGTGCAAAACACTCCACCTCTCTTCAGCACCCTCCTTCTCTCAAAGCACATTGTCACAGAACCTAAAAAGCAGGACAGGCAAACAAGCACAAAACAAACACAAATGAATACAAGGTTTTACCTGACTGTAAATAGCCTGCTGTAATTTTAATCCTCTTTCGTGAAGCTGCAGCTACAATAAAAAAAAAAAAAAACAAAACACAAGAAGGTATGACTACAGGTTTAAATGATGCAGACTAAGTTTTCACCACTGTTTTCTCTGCTTTGAGTAAATGTAGTTACTCGCATTTCTTGATCGTTGCTATAATTGAAATATTTCATTATCTTGGCCATAGGTATTTTAAATGATAATCTCAACTTCAGTGTAAATTTTTTAAACTTCACAGCCATTCATACTTTGATTGATTAGGAAAACACAATTTATACAAATACACTGTATGTCCATTCTCCCAACCTTCAAAGAACTGCTCAGTGTCAGCCATATTCAACCACAATCAAAACAGATACAGGAATCTTCAAAATAATTTGTTTAGTATCATTCCTGAAGCACGGATCCAAAAGTGGCATTGCCAAGGAATTTTCACACCCTGTAAATCCTTCCATTACCGAACCAGAGGAATAGGTGGAGGGTTTCCCTGCCCATGGCAGGGGGGTTGGAACTAGATGATCTTTGAGGTCCCTTCCAACCCAAACCATTCTGTGATTCTATGATTAATAGCAAAAACTGCCCTACTAAACATTGTTTCTGTCTGGAATAAGGTGGTATCATGAATCTGACTTGTAAACAAAGGGAAAACTCTGATCAAGAGCCCTGAAAGTGGCCAATGACCCTGATTTTGGGCAGGATGTTCCTGTGCTTCAAACAACAGTCAGACAGTTGCCTTTGTGCTGTAATTACAAATGCAAGGTTGTAAATCCTGCTACGGATTTGGTTGAAGGCCATCGGAAAAGTCACTCCAACGACCTTAAAAAAAATTGTACCAAAAAAAAATCAGAATGGAATGAAGGATGAGTGCAACCTCCAGCAGAGGGAGATCCCAGACAGATTCGAGCACAAATTGATCTCATCAAACGCATCCTGCTTCTTTCTTTGGAGTTTAATATCATTAATTCCAATACCCTTAATTCCAATACCCTTTTTGGCTGTCACGTTAGATGGGATATTGTTACAAACTTTAAGGGTAACAGAGAAACTCCTGTACACCCACATACTCACAGGCAACTCACATCAAGAAAAGTTCTCAAGCACATGGTCTTGTGCTTACTAAAGCTAAAAACTTCTGAAGGGTCCCCACGCTCCAGCCCACACGAAAACCAGTAAACCTCATAAAGTTACAGAACACTAATGAATATGACTGTGGGGCGAAACATAAATGTAGTTTAAAACCAAACAAAATTCTGCCTGGACTTATCACACAAGGTTTCCTGTCATAAGCAGCTTTCTATTGCATGCTGGAGTACCAGTGGCTTCCTGTAATTCTGGTAACCGGCGTTAAATCAAGAAACATGGATTTGTCACTAGAAGAGTGAGCCTACATACACCCAAGAAAGTCAACAAACTGAAGAGCTTCTTCAGCTATAGCTGAAACAGAAGCTACTATGACTCACTAAAATGAATGAATCAGAGAATGAATCATGGACTGGTTTGGGTTGGAAGGGACCTCAAAGATCATCTAGTTCCAACCCCCCTGCCATGGGCAGGGAAACCCTCCGCTACACCAGGCTGCCCAAAGCCTCATCCAACCTGGCCTTGAACACTTCCAGGGATGGGGCAGCCACAACTTCTCTGGGCAACCTGTTCCAGCGCCTCACCACCCTCAGAGTGAAAAATTTCTTCCTTATATCCAATCTAAATCTCCCCTCTTTCAGTTTAAATCCATTGCCCCTTGTCCTATCACTACACGCCCTTGTAAAAAGTCCCTCTCCAGCTTTCCTGTAGGCCCTTTAGGTACTGGAAGGTTGCTATAAGATCACCCCAGAGCCTTCTCTTCTCCAGGCTGAACGGTCCCAATTCTCTCAGCCTGTCTTCATAATGACTTATTACTAAGTTCATTACATAATCTCTAACCCAAACCTCTTTGGATCAGCTTGTCACCCCCTAGCCAGCTTCTTTATATAACCCCAAACAACTTATTCCACTCTACCAGCAATATTTACCATGGCTTTTATGGCTGCTGTCCTAACACGAGGGTCCTGGTCATTAAAATGATCTCCTATTATCTTCTGGACATCTTTGGCAGCCTGGCTTTCAGCTTCTTTTGCAACACCTTTTTCCACTGGTCCAAGGCAGCCAATTAACTGAAGACACTTATTTCGTACACCATGGGAAGAATCTGTCAGGTGCTGCAGAATGGAAGAGAAGAACAGACGTAACTGGATTCTTATTGTCCTTTCACCCCTTTGAAACAACTAATCATACTAAGATTCCCAGCAGTTAAAAAATGTTAATATTGTAACAGTTTGCTAAGAAAAAATAAAAGAATTGGAACACTGTGTATTTTCTTTCGTGTGGCAGTGATAAAAGCTTCCTGCCCCAGGGAGGTCACCTTACCTTGCAGGCCACCTCCACCAGTCTCATCCTGACAGATGGGTTCTCTGTGAGTTTTGTGCCAATCACCAACAGGGTGTCCAGCAGCTGAGCAAGGACTTGGTGAGACTCTGCAAAACAGGACAGAGAAAGGCTACATTTGTCTTTGCTGAGCTCTTCAGCAGCTACAGAACCAAAAAATCATTTGGGTTGGGAGGTCGTCCTGAAGCCTTCACTTTTCAAGGCCCAAACAAGTTCCCTCAGCTTCTCCTTGCACATTTTGTACTCCAGCTCCCGACCACCTCAGTGGCCCTCTGCTGAACTCAATCCACCTTACCAGCACTTATCTGGCACTGGGGAACCCAAAACTGGATGTGGTATCCCAGATGTGGTCTAATCAGTGCTGAGTAAAGGGGAATAAACTCTTTGCTTGACCTGCTGGCTACACTCCTGTTGATACAGCCCCGTACGCACTGAGCCTTCACTGCTCACTCATGCTTAGCCTGCTGTTCACCTGGAGCACCACAGCATTCTTACTTCCGACTTGGAGAGACGCTGGTTTGATAGATGGACTGTTTGATGGATAAGGAAGTGACTGGATATCCACATCAACGGCTCATACCCAAGTGGAAACCAGTCACGAGTGGCGTCCCTCAAGAGTCCGCACTGGCACCAATACTATTTAATACCTTTATCAATGACAGAGACAGTGGGATCGAGTGCACCCTCAGCAAGTTTGCTGATGACACCAACTGTGTGGTGTTATGGACACACTGGAGGGAAGGGATGCCATCCAGAGGGACCTGGATAGGTTGGAGAGGTGGGCCTATGAGAACCTCATGAAGTTCAACAAGGCCAAGGGCAAGGTCCTGCACGTGGGTCGGGGCAATCCCAAGCACAAGTACAGGCTGGGTGGAGAATGGATGGAGAGCAGCCCTGAGGAAAAGGACCTGGGAGTGCTGGTGGATGAGAAGCTCACCATGAGCCGGCACCATGCGCTGGCAGCCCAGAAAGCCAACCGTGTCCTGGGCTGCATCCAAAGCAGCGTGGGCAGTGGGTTGAGGGAGGTGATTCTGCCCCTCTGCTCTGCGAGACCCCCCTGCAGTGCTGCGTTCAGCTCTGGAGTCCCCAACACAAGAAGGACATGGAGCTGCTGGAGCGGGTCCAGAGGAGGCCACGAAGATGATCCGAGGGCTGGAGCACCTCTGCTCTGGAGACAGGCTGAGAGAGTTGGGGCTGTTCAGCCTGGAGAATAGAAGGCTCCGGGGAGACCTTCTAGCAGCCTTCCAGTACCTAAAGGGGGCCTACAGGAAAGCTGGAGAGGGACTTTGGACAAGGGTATGTAGCGATAGGACAAGGGGCATGGATTTAATCTGAAAGAGGGGAGATTTCAATTCGATCTAAGGAAGAAATTTCTCACTCTGAGGGTGGTGAGGCACTGGCACAGGTTGCCCAGAGAATTTGTGGCTGCCCCATTCCTGGAAGTGTTCAAGAGCAGGTTGGATGGGGTAACTTAATCTAGTGGAAGGTGTTGCTGCCCATGGGAAGGTGGCTGGACTAGATGATCTTTAAACATCCCTTCCAACTCAAATCATTCTTTGACTGTATAAATAACTGTAAAACAAAATCAAACTGCATCAAGTAAAGGACATAAAAACTGTGAATATAACATAGAAAATAAAAATGGACTTTAATGAAGCCACAAACAGGACAAGCTATGCTTTCCTGTCTATTACAAATCCAATGCTAATAAACTCATGCCTCCTTGCATTAGCTCTGATGAGCTGGCCCACAGTATGATAAGTAAAACACTCCAAAGAAGTTTCTACTTAATGCAAGACTGTCCTCCAAAAGGGAACACTTCAGGAGCAACAGTTCTCGCACGGAGACACAAAAGTAACTCCCTTAAAACAAAGGTATACAGTGGGCAGGTCTGAGGAACGTTTTTCTCCTCCTCAGAACATGGTACTGCCTGCCACCATTCACAAAAGCAGAAAATAAATACTCTGAGCAACAATTCCCAATTATACTCCTCGGATGCAAGGGCCTTGCCACTGTCCTAAATGCTGAAAGACTACGTGATTCTGCCTTGATCTCAAGCACCACCTGAAGAGCGAGACTCACTCTCATTCTGAAGTGTGTTAATGGCGTCATCCATAATGCAGTCCGGGGAAAATCCTGCGGTCTTCGACAACAAGCCCAACAAGGAAGCAATCTTCAGTCTTACAGAGGCGTCGTTCTCCTAGAAGGAAACAGCAGACATCATCACTCATTGTCCAGTTTGAAGGGCATAAAACACTATGCACAGGCAGGACCCGTGTGAAATTTATCACAAGGGTCTGAATTTTACTGCCAAGCTATGACTGCAGCACATCCCATAGAAAAATAATCGTAACAGAACATTTAAGTGGCAGCTCCCAGTACATTTCATAACAATTCTTCTACTCACAGTTCCTCAAAACTACCTTCGTATTGTTTGAAAATTTAAAGGTTAAATAATCAGGTTTTCAAGATGCTGGAAAAGTCACTGTTGACAATGTTAATATCTTTGCAAGTTTTTAACAAACAAGTGGGAGAATTTTAGAAGCTGAACTGAGACTGATGGTCTCTGGACCTCTGCTAAGCAGCAGGGCCTTTGTCACTTGTTAAGTTAATTTCAGACTAGTCATGCAGATCAGCTGCAGGGATAACCTCCCTGTCACAGGCTCCTGAAACCACCAGCACAGGGACCAAGAAGCATGATCAGAAATCATCCAGGGAAAGCACTGCAGTCACTCACACTCCTCACACAAGGCCTCCAACAGCTCAGGCTGTTGGCACCGGGGTCAGGACCCAGGGGGAGCCTGTGACTCTGTTGGGCACCCAATCCTAAGAAAACAAGATCAGAAGGAGGATTCTGGAAGCACAGCTGGCTCCCAGCTTCACCACCTTGTAGTAATGCTCCAGCAGGATCCTGACAACCCCTTCCACGCTCTCCACTTCCACGGGCTTCCTGGTAAACTGGAGCAGGTACTGCAAGGCGTCCGCAGGGGAGGTGGCTTTGCACAGGTCGACGTGGAGTGCTGCGGACTTACTGGGCTTGGTCAGCCGCAACTTCTTGGCAGACAGGTCCTCATGCTGCTGCTGTGGGCAGAGACACGGTTCAGAGACACGGAGGAAATCCTGACCCACTCCTTCCCCGAGGGAGCACCATCTCAGCACCAAGCCTGAGGAAGCTC